TAATTTTGGTGGCTGCTTCTTTAGCAGCTCCTGTTTTCAATTATGTGGACAGCATATATCTGCAGACATTATGGTAACTTCTCTCTTCACTTTTTTTCAGATAATTTAATGTACTCCTAAAGAAACTGGTAATTGAGATTAATCTAATTTTGTGGAACAAAAAAACTGTGCCCAGATGATGTAGTAGACCCATACAGCTGAATTTTTACACGTTTATTCTTAACTGACACAGGAGCTAGATATTTATTGGTACTTAATTTATACAAGCAAAAAGTAGCCAAATTAAACTAGTTAAGATCCAGGAATAACGGCTTAAGAAACAAGTCTTCAGAGAAGACATGATGTACATGCAAAGTGTAAATTCAGATTAATAGAAAAGAAGGGAGTGGGAAGAAAGGCTGTGTGGGTTCTTTATTTATTCATGCTGTAAGTGTCCTTGAAAAAACAACCTTGATACCAGTAAAAATATATGGGAAGTGTTTTCTTATTTTTGCTTTGTACTGTACCTGCTATCTTGAAATCTAGGTTTCTGAAGCCTCTTTGAAAAGCACCTGAAAAAAATGGTGATTCCTGCTAGACTGTAGGAAGGAAGGGGCGGGATCGAATGAAAACACGCATACCGGAGCATACCTCCCTAAATAATGGCTGTTCCTTTCACTGTTATTGGAGGTCTGAACTGTGTCTGAACCTCAATTGCAGCTGAGGGCAGGTGTTACAAGTGCAGTAATTTCTCCTGAGCAGTTAGGTAAGAGTTCGGAACAAAAAGGCTGAATAGCAGATAGCAGAATTACTAAATAACTTAAAGTAGTGGAAAATCCAGTGTTACTTGTCTTTTGGATTAAAAAAAAAACAAACCAAACAACAACAAAACAACAACAAAACAAATGCAAAACTCAAGCTTCTAAGGCGCTAGGAACCTTGATCTTAAGGGTCATTGTGGTTTTTCATCCTGTTGGAAAGCCAAATCTGGAATGGCACCTGTGCAAGATGCTGACCTTGCTGCTTGTCTGGGACTCTATGAGAGAGTTACCATGTTGTGAGTAATGGAGAGATGCTGGGTACAATTTAGCAGAGTCCTCTATAAACACTGTCAAAAATGACCTGAATGAGTCTGGCAGCGTGTCCAGGGAGGGCAGCTGTAATGGAGGGGCAGGACTGTAGCAGTGGCTCGCACCCGAATGGTGTCAGCCTTTGACACAGAGGAGCACTGCTAATTTAGAAATATATATGATTATTACCCAGCGTCTGGGAAGGGAACAAAAGAGGCTGAAGCCAAAACTTGTGCCTTAGCTTTGGAACTTGGTAAAATTATAAGTTCAAGTCTTGTATGATTTGAATGTTCCCCTTTCATACTACCAAGGGATAGTTTCTCACATCAGTCAGTTCTCAAGCTGGTAAAAATTACGTAGGCTGCAAATACTGAATCTTTTGCCGTCTCTAAAACAAGTGCTAATACGGTAAAAACTTGGCCTAGTATGCAGTTAACAGAAGCATGCTGCTTAGCGCTGGGTGGCAGTTCCTTTGTTTATCTAATCCTCCACTTAGAACCAAATTTCAGCATATAAATTGTAAACTGCATTTCTGTAGGACATAGTCCATGACTGTGTACTGAAAAACAGGGAAAATGCTTAAAAATAACACTTTTTATTATCATACTTAGACTCAAATGACTTACGGGAACTATTTTCCCCAAAGGTGCATCACAGCTTTCACAACGGTAACATCTGCGTACAGCTATTACCACTATGGCCGGAAAACGGTTCAGGTGATAAATAACAAATGAAGTATTCCTGGAAGGGCCGGGCCTTGGCAGCGTGGTGTGCTGTACTGCCGAAGATGGTTGTAATGCAACTGAGTTTTGGATCAAGAACTCTTGTTTTTCTGCTTAAACCACGGCATCACAATGAAGTGAAGTTTGAACATGTACTGTGTATATATAGAGAGAGACTTCTCAATGTATTTTTAATTTGTTAAAAATGAGGTTGTTTACAAAAACAAATAAATAATATTCATAAAGACACAGGTTACTGGTTGCTGCCATGTGCATTCTGAATAATTTTATACTGTTTTTGAAGTCAAAATACGCACTCTTCACCAGCTTTTTTGCCATCTTCATGCAAGGCATTGAGTAGGCTGAGATCTGAAACGAAAAAGCAATTACAAGAACAAATTTGTACTTCAACCTAAGTCAGTAAACCAGCATTGCTCATTAGGACTTAATGATGTACGTCAGCTTGCAGCGGAAGAAAGCATGTAATCGAGGAACAGTATCTTCAGAAATTTACACCGGACTGATAGAAATTTTACTTCGTATTCCGTGGTGATACGGATAAGCCGTGAAGAGTCACGACCCTGCTCCCTTTTCTTTTTAAGTATGAGCAACAGTGAACTGTCCTCATCAGAGGAGAGTTCTGAGTCCCAGAAGGGTCAGCCATGCAGTGAAGAGTCTGTACCCAAATGGAGTTCCATTTCTCATGCTATGTATTCATTTCTAGTGATCGAAAGAAACTCTCCTCTGTCTCCAGATTCTTTAAAGCCTCTAAAGATGCTGTTTAATCTAAGTACCATGGGAGAGGAAGGACTTTTTAAATACTGTCCAAATGAATGGGGAGAGTGGAAGAAACTTGTCGGTGCACGTACTATTCATTCTTCCTGTACCCTAGCTTCAAGAGGCGTATGCTGGGATCCTCTCCGACGCGGAGAGCTGGCGCCTGTTCTTTGCGTGTTCTCTGCTTACAGCAAGATGCAGAATAAAGCACTAGGCAGAACAGATCATGTTGATCATAATCTTATGTTTTCTATTTTGGAGCAACGTGTGATTTCTTGTATGTCATAAAAACCAGTGCAACTATGAAGGGCTTAAATCATTGCAATCAGGTGGTATGTGATACCAGTGTATTATGAACAGAAGAAAATTTGCTGTAGACGTCTCTTGAGAGCACACAGTCTCTTTTGTGACTGCATATGCTTGTATATACAAAGCATTTTAATATTTTTTATATTTAAACTTGTATAGAATGGTGCACAGAGAAAACACTTGATTTTTATTAGTACCTTCTTCTTAACTGTCCCCGTGTTTTGTGGTTGATGCTACACCTTATAGCGAAGGGACAGAGCGCAAAGCCTATGGAAGTTTCCTTAAAATACCTGAGTATTTAGTAAAATGGAGTACTTTTTCTTGAAGAAACAGATTAGAAAGCAGAAATTTATTGTACCCAGTCAGGTAATTTTTGTTTGGTTCTGGTTAATGGGATTGGGGTTTTTTTGTGTTTGTTTTTTTGTTGTTTTTTTTTTTTTTTAAATCGCAGGTACGTTTGAACCATTGCATGAAATCGTCAGGGAAGGGAAGAATACTGGTCAGCGAAGGGTGTGCGTTCCTGTGTGTCATTGCAGTTGTCACTGCCTGCGTCGATAACAAGTTCAGTGTGCGATTACTCGGTGGTACGTGCCTAAATATTTGTGTTAAATAAAATTCGTCTGGATGGTAGAGCCGCTGCTTTTGCCACGTACGTGTGTGGTCCTCGATAGGCACGGTGAGCTCTCCGTGAGCGCCGTCCGTCTCACCCCCGTCAGAAAGCTCGGTACACGCGTTCGCCGGAGCAGCCGCCGCCGCCCGAAGGCTCCAAGCCGCTGAGCGCCCTCCTCAGCGGCATCGCCCAGGCCGCCTACTACGGCAACGCGGACATCACCGAGGAGCTGCTGCGCGGGCAGCTCTACCCCGAGGCGGCGCCGGAGGAGTTCCGCGCCCTGCGCGCCAAGATGGGCGGCCTCCTCCAGGTACCGGCCGGGGCGGGCCCGGGGCTCTGGAGGGGGGACGCGGTCCCGCTCCGGGGCGCCTACCCTGGGGGAAACCATTTCCTCGTCCTCGCTGCCCCTGGGTGTGCGGCGTGTGTCCCCCGCACAAGGAGGAGGAGGTGGGGGCGAAACCGGCCGCCGGCAGCGTGGGGCTGACCTGTACCGGGCGCTTCTGGTACAGGGCTGGCGCCGGGCCGGGGCCCTGAGCACAGCCCTGCCCTGCCGCGGCCGCGGGATGGGTGAAAGCGGCCGGCGTAGCCTTGGCTTCGTCCCTTACGGCGCAGGGCGCGGGCAGCAGGCGGCTCGGTGGGGAGCCGAGGCCCGGGCGAGGTCGGGCTCTGCCTTCGCGTCTCCGCAAGAGCAGGAGCCCGTCGGGCCAGTGCGCCGTGAAAGGTGAAAGACGGCTCCTCGCTTTTACGCTCCTGGAAAGAAGTACCGCTCTGTGAGAACTTTCTGAGAAGAGCTACTATTCAAAATACAGGTTTCTTACGGGAAAACTGTATTTTGGGAAAAGCATCACCAAGTATAAAGTAAGCCATTTTAAATAGAAAACAGATCTTGCTTTATGCGTAAGAGAAGGTATTTTTCTCCGGAATGGATTTTTCTGCACTCCATTCAGGGACAAAAGGGTAGAGTAGCAGCTCGTTGTGGCACAGGGGGGCCTCCAGGGGCAAAAAGCTTGGATGGCCGCTGCCACCTGGTGGTTAAATCCGCGACTGTTTAGCAGGGCTTGTACACTTGGTCGGTCGTTTTTTGACACACTCGTGTGAGGAAAAAATATAACTAAATGCAGTAACGTAGTTCCGGCTGGATAATTTTTCATGCCCAAACCCCTGTCTTTAGTAGTGAGCTTTTTATGATGGCTTTTTTCCTTCCTAAAGTGTCCTTTTTTTCCATACAAGTAAAGCTGCAACATGTCTGCTTGCTATGCTTTCCTTGTCACTACACGTTATTTTTACTGCATGCTGTTTGTATTGCTCAAGATCATTAATATGTTTTGCAAAACAACATCTTTTAAATTACTGTCCTCTGAGGAACCTTTGGGATTATGTTGTGTTGTTCTGTATGATGAAAAATATCAGAAATTTGACAAGGAGTTGCCTTTGCTTGCTTTTATCTGTGTTCTTATTTGTTACAAGGTCAAAGGTAAGTGTGTATGTGCTTTTTAAAAGAAAAAAATACTGTAAAATGTTCTCTCTTGTTTTTTTCACTATATTGCTGCGTCTGTATCAGGAGTCAGTATGTTAGTGCAAACATGCATGTTAGCCCAGCAGATGAACAGTTAAATGCTTTAAATACCTGAATCATTAAGTGCAGTGTCACCAGATTCAGCAGAGAACACAGCTTAGTCTCTCATAATTATGCTGTGCCCACAGCGCTGTTAGCAGCAGCCTCCCTTTTTGTGGATCAGGTAAGGAACTGTGTACGTGAAACATACCACTTCAGTTTGACGCTTCTTTGTCGTTGCTCATGCGGTCAGGTCTGCCACATGTTCTGCAAGGTGTAGGATGCCCGTTGGGAAGTATGTTATTGCCAAAGAGCAGGAGGGCAGGGGGGGGCTTGTTCCTTTTGCACTATCTACTGCCGCTAATTCTTACCTTTTGACAACTACAGTGCTTTCTGGGCTGCTCTGTGATCTGACAGTTTTCTGTTGAATTACTGACTAACTCAAAGGGAGGAAGAAAAAGCAAATTACTGTGAAGTTCCCGAGTTTAAATTCTCTCATGAAAAGATGTGACAGGCATCAGAGATGATCAAAGGAGACAGTTGGGACTGTATAGCAGGAGTGAAGGGGAGCGGGAAGCGAGATGTGCTCTTTTATATGTTGCAAGCTATTTTGCTGGCATACTGAAGTAAACTGAAATCAATGGCTGTTGATATACTGAGCAGTGAACTAGAGTTTCTCAGAATTGGACACACTGCGTGTTCTCTGTGATGTTTCATGAAGTGATGGTGACCAGAGCTCAGGAAATGAAGCCTGGTGAGGATCAGTGTCTCAATCCATGGCTAAAAGCCAGGATGTTTTGAGTTCTACCTGACAGTATCACTGGGGGAAAAAAAAAAAAAAAAAAAAAAAAGACAGCTTTCTCCTGATTCATATTCTTTTCGAAAAAGAAGCTAATACTCCCTACATTCTCTCCCCTGCTTCCCGCCCCATGTATTCTGGCTGATATTTCAACAATTGTAGGTTCCTGTTCAATTCTTGATTTGCTTTTCAGTTTTATTTTTAAAATTATTTTCTGCTCTAAATCTGCCTAAGCCAAATTTTACTGTGATACCCATTCTTCCCTGTTCTGATAGTAATTTTTCAGACCTGGTGGTTCTCTCTCTTTTTTTTTTTTTTGGCTTACCTGTTTTTTCCTAGTGTTTTTTTTTTTTTTTTTCTGAGGTGCTTTTGACTTACCTCTGAGAGTTAAGTTTGGCAGATACCTGGCAAACACAGGTATTATTTTTCTACTTATTTCAGGGCAGTACTTGAGTGCAGTAACTTTAGATAAAAGAGAATTTTATATGAATACTCTCCAAACTCTATATAGGCTTTGCTTTTTCTGTTTGCAGGAATGGGTAGTTCTTTAGCCATCGCTGAAATGTGACAGCTGCTCAGCCAGTACGATGTGTTTGAGGCCAGAAGAAAAGACAGTGCCACATCCAGAGGAAAGAGCTAGAGAAACTTAGGTAGGCAAATGTAGTTATAGAATCATAGAATCATTAAGGTTGCAAAAGACCCTTAAGATCATCGAGTCCAACCGTTAGCCTATCACTGCCAAGTCCACCACGCACAGCTTGAGGCCATTTCTTCTCGTCCTGTCACTTGTTACTTGGGAGAAGAGACCGACCCCCACCTTGCTACAAACTCCTTTCACGTAGTTGTAGAGGGCAATAAGGTCTCCCCTCAGCCTCCTCTTCTCCAGACTAAACAACCCCAGCTCCCTCAACCGCTCCTCGTAAGACTTGTGCTCTAGACCCCTCACCAGCTTCGTTGCCCTTCTCTGGACACGCTCCAGCACCTCAATGTCCTTGTAGTGAGGGGCCCAAAACTGAACACGGTACTCGAGGTGCGGCCTCACCAGTGCCGAGTACAGGGGCATGATCACCTCCCTGGGCCTGCTGGCCACACTATTCGTGATACAAGCCAGGATGCCATTGGCCCTCTTGGCCACCTGGGTACACTGCTGGCTCATGTTCAGGTGGCTGTCGAGCCACACCCCCCGGTCCTTTTCTGCCAGGCAGCTCTCCAGCCACTCCTCCCCCAGCCTGTAGCGTTGCATGGGGTTGTTGTGAACCAAGTGCAGGACCCGGCGCTGAGCCTTGTTGAATCTCACACAGTTGGCCCCGGCCCAACGATCCAGCCTGTCCAGGTCCCTCTGTAGGGCCTTCCTGCCCTCCAGCAGATCAATACTTCCACCCAACTTGGTGTCATCTGCAAACAGATTTGGAATTTGATGAGGATGCTGGCACTCATGTTCTGCTTTTATGAAGGATCCATTGTTTCTTTAATGATCAGATTCATATGATGCCCTGAAAAGTCTGGAATGAAAGCTGAATCATAAAGAGTGATTCTTGCAGGACTTAAGACACTCTGGTTTTGTCTGTGGGTTTTTTTTTTCTTTCCCTCTCAAATACAACTCTTATTCAAGCACTATTGAGGTGTCATATTCTGGATATAATGTTAATTCAGGCCTCAGAAAACACAGATGATTAAAATTATTGGATATTTACCAATTGTTGTAACATGGGCATATAGCTTAGGAGGATGGCAATATGCTGGGGAGAGGATATCACATTCCCTGTGTGCTGCTTGCTTTAAGAACCAAAACTGATAACAACTGTGGTCTTTGAGGTCATGCCTTCCAATGTAAATTAGCATCTCGCTTTATCAGGTGTGTCTCATGGTCTTCATGGCCACCGCTATTCTCATCTCCTTATGAATGAAATTCCTGGGAAATAACCAAAGTTTATGCAGTTCAGCACACCTTAAAGTCGAAGTTGTGAGCTAAGCAATGCAAAAACTGCTTTGTACAGACACAACTTCATGTCGCGTACGTGTGGATTTTGGGGTGCTTATTTCTAGCACATGACTTAAATGAAGTGACACCTAAGTCCTGTGGATACTTTCAGGATCTCTGTTCTAGAGCGTCCTAAAAAATCCCTTGGCTTTCTGGTCATTTTGAGGGCCCTCTGTCTTTCACACCTCCCAGTATGGGGAAGAAAGGTTGTTATTAGAGTTGTGCTTCGGAAGTAGGGAGGCTTAAACTTACTTTCCTCTCCCTCCATCTACCTAGCAGAAAAATCCGTTGTCCTAGCTATTATTTGTGATACCTTCTTTTCAGTTCTCACAGCTAGCCTACAAATCTCTGCCTCTTGCATAAACTGAGTCATCTGAAGCCATCATGTAGAGATATGGTGTGCAATGTTTCCTTTTGTTTGAACGATGTGGCAGAGGGAGGGTGAGGGGAAAGTGTCTTGGCCCTACAAGTTGTTTAAATCTTTAAGCAGCTGAGAACTGCAAACCACATACGTGCATACTTCAGAGAGTTGCCTGGAATACTTTTAGTATCTCCATGAATTTAAATGTGGGGGTTTTGGTGTTATATTGTGTTTGCTGATAACAGCAGACTTCAAAAGTGTTCCTCTGTGCTTATAACATCTTCGTCTTTGGACACACGTCTTGGATGCTGGTGTTTCCTCAGCACCTGAAGGAGCAAGCTCCACTCAAAGATCTGTGGTGTCCCTTCCTTGTCAATTGTCACATGAACTTCTGAGCAAATTTATTTCAGTCTTGATATTTAATTCATTGTGAAAAATGTGCGTTATTAAAGTGTTAACAGCAACATTTGTGTTATCTTTTCATGGTTTTATTTTTTCCTTCCTCTGGGTGGTAGAGGAAGGGGAGCAAACAGAATAGCAACAGAAAGTCAGAGTACTTGTTTATGCAGCCATTTCCCTTGTGTGCAGTGATCTGCATCTAAGTTAAGAAGAAG